CGGACGAATGGCAAGGCGAGAGCACGCCTCGTGGAGTTTCGCGCGGATCCTCTTTAGGGCCCTCTTCAACATTCTTCTCTCTTTGTTCGCCCGCGAACCCGCGTGAACTCGTTCCGCGGGGCCGCTTTATGAATTACACGCGTATCTCGCCCGAATAAACCGGCTAATAAATTCCATCGAGAAAGAAATCGAGTCGAAAGAAATTCAGTTTGCTCGCTTGCAGGTGAGACAGGTTACGATAGTTCGTAATATATATTAACGCTTGCGTTAAATTAAATTCGTATTAAAAAAAAAAAAAAAAACAAAAATCTCACGAAAATATCATTTCCACGTGATCCTAGCTCTTCCAGTAGATAAATTTACGCCTTTGCAAATTTATTCAAACGCGTGTGCTAGAGTCACCCGAGAACGTCGGTGAATTACAAAACGATGTGAAAAAGACGTACCACGCCGTGGTGGTAAATCAATTCGCATTCACCACGTTATCCCCTTCGTTAAAGTAACACACAACGTTCCTATTGCGCCACCAACCATCGACGCGTTTCGCGGCGAATTATTACGCGTTTTCTCGCGGTACAATCGAATCGCGCGTGCGTTAATTATCGTCCCAAGAGAGGGAGGGAGGGAGGAAAGGGGGATCGGACAACTTGATTTCGCGATAAATTTTTCCCCTCGTTTCGCGCAATTGGCGAGATGATCACGCGAAGGAACGGATGCGAATCGAAATCTCGAAAAACGTTTCGACCTCGACCAAATCCTCCCTCTCTCTCTGCCTCTGGAATCTTTCTCTCTTCATCTGGAAAACACGAAAACGCGTGAGCCACTTTGCCGCTTTGTCTCGTATCTTCCGTTCGTGACGGATTCGTATTCATTTTTTTTTTTTTCGTTTAACCGGAGGGAACCGGATTTGTATATCGTTGTCGACTCTTAATTATTCGACGTACGCGGTGGAGGGAAATTCGATGTTCGTTTCGAAACGATGTTGAAAGGCCGCCAATTCCCACGACGCGTATTGTTACGACGCGTCTAGAAACGACAAAGTTCATCGCGCGTCCCAGCACGCGATCGAGTGTGTCAACCGTCCTCTTTTCCGACTCGTTCGCAATTTTCTTGCTCCAAACTCCGTCGACACGGGGGACAAGAGTGTTGTAACGCGCGAAAACTTTTTATCGCGATCCTTCGACTTTCCTCTTGGATACTTGGGATTGGCGTGATTGTTAAGGGAGCACGAGCGAAGCAAGCTCGATCGAAGAGAGCATATTCGAGAAATATTCTTCAATCTCGATGTTGATTGTTTATTTCGATCCGTCTTTCGAATCATTGATCATTTAATAATAATAATAACCTCTTGTATCGATAATTTTCGATTAGAGATTGATCGAAATTATTCTAATAGCTTGTTGTAATTTAATATCGAAGAATTTATGCGGAATGATGAAACGAGCAAGAAATAAATACCCGTAATTTACATATCTCTCAAACGGACAAATTAGTAGCTGCTGTAATAATAATTAATAATACTCGCGAAACTACCATAATAATAACGATTAATCTCACGATTATTGGCGATAATTGTATATAATAATCTCCGTGAAATCGTCATCGATGATCGAATTCTCGTATAAATCATATTTGATTTTATAAACGTATTAAAAGTATACTTGGTATACTTGGAGACTCGGCAGGTTCGTAATCGTGATCAGTTAAATCAGATACGATTCGATCGATAATCATTGGAATATGGTAAATTAAAAAAAAATTCCGTTTCTTTCGATTTCAACTTTTTTCATGAGGAACAGATGAAAATTAAAGCGAGCGGGGATAACATCGATTCCCGTACTCGGTGGCCATTAAGCGAAGTAACGTTCTTCGTGGCGAAATTAAGACCGGTTTTAATTGCCTGCGAGGCGTTTTCGGCCAATCGAAAGTTCGTAATGAAGTGTTCCTCGCGGCCGCTTTGTCGGTAGCGGGTTATCTCGCCGACCGCGAGATAATAAAACCGTTCCTCGCTACGACAATCATTTAATGGCTCATTATCGTGACGACGTTCTCGCCTCGATCCCTTAAACCGCATTATAACCGTTCCGCGAGGGCCGGTTGCCCAACCAAATTCGCATAATTAACACGAGAATTCGTTACACCGGTTGCATACCCCATTCGAAATTGCGTTAACTCGATACTCCTTGTCGGCGTAATCGGCTTCTCGTGAAATGGTAATATGGCGCTTCTTTCCTTTTTTTCTTTTTCTTTTTTTTTTTTTTTCTACGCGAATTAAAGTAAAACGCAGTTGTGATTTTATATTTTCCGATTTCTAAATCGTGTATACTATTAATTTAGTGGAAGAATTTTTCGATAGAAGATCAATTTCGCGGAAACTGTAAATACAGTTCAGTACCGGATACGTAGCTGCTCGATCTCTTTAGAGATAAAATACGCGAAGCGGTTCTAAGCTACCTCGAGTCAATCGTCTGTGAAATTTCCTTTTGCTGCACGACTTCTTCATAAACGGTAGAACGACGGATTGTTGCTTCCAATAATTCAGCTATCTTTCAATATCTATCCACCTTCGAGACACTCCAACGCAATCGGGACAATAATCACAAGTATTTGCAAATTACCGTAAAATCTTGTACGCGTAAAAATAATTTAATTAGTGGGAATAATTTTAGCGATTCCTCTCTCTCGGAAGGACAGCGATCCGTTGGATGAATAACGCGTTAATTCGAAGCCTCTCGACGAAATTACGTTATCTCGGCGAGTAAATTAGGAATTATCGATATAATAATTCATCGGCGAGGAAGCAGCTGTTGTGCGATTCATCTGCGATTCCTCTCGCGGTGGAGGTGTCGGTAGGGGGTTCGAGTGTGCTTCGTCTCCGTGCGTCATTACCGTTAATAATCGAGCGGCGTGGTCGGTTCAATGCTCAACTCTATTCCGTTTAATCGTCGAATCGGCCGAAGATGAAGCCATAAAGATTATAATAGGTATACGACTACCAGGCCCGTACCTATCTCTCCTTAACCGCCTCTCTCCTTTTATCGACTGCTGCCCGGCCGGTGCCACGTCTCCCACGGACGTGTACACGTACATCACCTTGTCGCGCTGCTTTGGAATCGGCGACGCTCATTTTCATATTCATTAGGCCAACCCCAAGATTAGCATGCTAATTGCAATAATGAGCGGCGGACTCTCCCTCCCTGACATCGTTCCTTTTCTATCGCATCCTTTCTTCCGTATCCATTCACCGACAAGTTGAATCAGCAACATTTCCCTTTTCTTTTTTTCTTTTTCTCTGAACCGAACACACGCGCGATACGTACGTAGAAAGCGAACGAACGAAACGATTTTCGTAAGAAAATTTTCGAATTTTCGAATTGGAGAAGCGAAAGTTAGAGCGAAACGTTAGAGATACGAGCGAGGAGTTTTGAAAAAGGGTGATTCGTTTGCCCGAGCAGACGCCGGTTGTAGACGATGTTGCCTCATCAACGACCTCCAGCGTGGAGGATCACGGGGTCACCTGTGTAAAACCCGTACGTTACTACCGGCTGGATACGTGGCTCCCTCGAACGTTATAAAGTCGCGTAACACCTGTTAAGTCCAGTACCCTACGAGACGGCACGAAATTTCCGTTCGACCGCTAATGATTTACCGTGCAATGGACGGTTTGCTTCCAAGAAAGCGGTCTTTGCAATTTCTTTTGTAGAGATTCGTACGTCGAAAACATCGGCGTACAAACAACTTCGTCCAAGAATATATTATTACATTCACGAGAGAATCGCTCGAATCCATCATATTACATTCATACATTCCCCCAAATCCGGAATTTAAAAACAACCTCTATTCCATAAAAGGACTCGAAGAGTCCCATCACAAAAATCTTAATGGAAAAATTTCTTGATCTCGAATTCGTTGGTTTAAACTTTTCCTTAAATTACTTGCTTACTCCCCGTCGATCGGCGGAAGGACGAAGAAGAAACGGATCGGTTCGTTCATTCATAAGTGGGATCGTTTTCGTGCGACCGTAGGGTTGTCGGTTGGATCGACGCTAGACGCGCGTGCACGTGAACGGGCGCGCTCGTGCTCCTCGTCGGTGTGGTGCGTGGTGGCACAGGTGTGTAGGTGTAGGCCGGTGTTCACGTAGGTGAAGGTGTAGGTGAGCGCACAGCCGCTTGGGCCGTGTGCATGGCCGGCGTAAGCCGGTCTACTTGGGTGGTCCGTCGAAGAAGGGACCGCACGCAGAGGCCTATCCCCACCAGAAAAACCTCTCCTCTCGGTCGCTCCTCGCGCTCTCTCCGTCTCTCCCGTCGGGCCTATTGCTCGGCAGCCCCGCGCACACCACACCACCGGTCTCGTACGTACACGCATCGGCCATCACCTCTGTGTGTGCGCGTGTGGATGGCCGGAATATCTCTCAATCTAGCTGGTTGAATTCCGGCCGGTACTTACCGACGAGGAAGACTACTCTCTAAACACGGCCGACTAGCGTTTTAACGTTATTTGTGTCCGCGTTAGAATAAATTTCGGCCTCGCCTCGTCGCTGGAGGTCGATCCCGGTGGCATGTTACGAAGGATCATCGCTCCGTTTTCGACCGATTTCGCTCTGACGAGACGTCAGTGTCTCCTTTCTTTGCTTCCCTGACAATTGCAGCATACAAGATCACTCGCATACAAGATGCTGCCAAAGTCTTCGACTCGCGATCTTTAGAGATCCGTATATAGAAAAATGTGTCGTCTGAATTAATTATTTCGTCGATAATATCTTTCTTCTAAAACGATCGTGCAATATATTGCATTTGGTTCTTTTTAAGGTATTTCGTTACTTTTTGTGAAAGTAGTCGAAGAATAACAAAGAAAAGGAACGAGGACATTTCTTCGATCACATAAACGGCGTTAATCCCGAAAATTTTCTCGTTGAATTTCGTCTCATTTCGTTTATCGAGTAAGCAAGCAAAGTCGTGTTCGATCGAGGAGACCACCCGCTTCGGATACTCGTCGAATACTCCGCCCTCGTTAATCACGGAAATATCGCGTAATTCCTCGCGACAGGTTCCCCTCGCTTTTTCTCTTCTCGTATCGATTGTCGTCTCTCTCTTTAATTGATTAGCCACGGTTTCGCGAAATACGATCGACCATAGGTCCCGCAGGTGTTGCGAAGATCGTTTGCGGACATTGTAACGTCATTAGTTTGCCGTACTATCCATCATAACTAACGAGATTTTATGCTGGAAAACTCTTTCTCTCTCTCTCTCTCTCTCGATTAATTCACCGGACACGACGGTGTACAGGGTGTCTTTGCAATTGCGTCTTTGCATAAGGATATCGGTTCTTGGAAAAAAATCACCGTGAAAATCCAAGTTTTTTATAAGTAAGTGTCAATCCAGCTACTCGTATGTATTAAATTCTTTTTTAATATCTCAAAGATCCAACAGATTACATATCTCTCCTTTACAAAATTATCATAATTAAATACGGCTCGAAGAAGACTGGTAACGAAAAAAAAAAAAAATAATAAACAAATAGATAACGCATCACCGAAGCAAGCAAATCGTCATGTTGTTCGTAAATTTATAAATACAAATGGAAGAGAAACGTATTAAGTGTAATCTTGTTGAATTCTTCGACGAATTTTTTTCCCAACGAATCGCTTCTATTAATGCAAACACACCCCCGTGTATAATCGTATCGTGCAAAGTCGAACAGGTTGATTTCTGGGCGTAGCTCGCGCGAGATTCCACGGTTGTACGGCGAGGATTCCGAAGGAACGCCCTGATTAAACGCTCCGTCACAGCGTGCAGACTCGCGCGTGTATATATATCGTAGCTTGAGCGTGCACACGCACACACACACACACACACACAAAAACATACACACACACACACGCGCGTGTCGCTTTATTACGCGGCGTGGAATGCCAAGCTTCGTCGCGATCTAATGACTCCCGCTATTACTCAGCCGAGAGTTTGGCGAATCTGCCTAATCGAGTTGACAGTGTACACGCACGACCGACACTCCGTCGCCTCCACCAGTGGAGGAATTGATTGACCCATCGTCGCGTTAACTTCGAAAACAATCGTGTAACGCGGCAAGGGCGTCGATTCTAACCGAAACGCTTTATCGAAGCGCGTGGAGGAGGAGAAGGGGGAGAGAAAAAGATGCGTGAATAAGGCATACGAGAGCGTTTTTTTCGAGAACGTTTGCCAGATACGGATTACAAAATGGAAGTAGTAAGAAGTGCATACGTTATATAAAGATAAACCGGTGGAAGTTAAATGAAGACAAATGTGGCTATAACACCACGGGCCAGTCAACGATTGCACGTCGTGTTTGGTTACGTACGCAGCGTAACTTTCTTTTTAATTGTCCCGCACCGTGTCCCGTTCTCACAGCTCGACAAAGAAACGCTTAATATAATCGGCACCGCGATCAAAATTGGCCGTGTAATGAAAGAGACGAGGGAATAGGGAGAAACGAGATAAACGGATTACAGTAGCCAATCCGTGTTTCCGTGACTGGCAACAATGGTAATTGCGACTCTAATTAGACTAACGTTTTCATCGCTCCTTTTCCGTCCCCTTACTACCCGAAACAATTACGCTCGAAACAACGTCGCGATACGTTTTAGATCAGGGTTTAACCGCTACGATGATCCCGCGTTAAGCGTGGGATCTCTAATTGGATAGTGGATCGCGAGAAAAGTCGAAGTAACGCGTGTCAAAGCCAGCACGCGACTGTCGATTCGTTTCGAAACAAAGGTTTTAACCTTTTCTCCGTTATTGTTATTATAGCTCGATCGTGCCTCGTTTCGAACGTCGCCGTTTACGTATACGTATTAAATACGTAAGAAATACATAAGAAATGTTTACGATCGTTCTCGTCCTATTATACTGTTATTATACTGTTATATTATTATACGTTATTATTAATAGATATAATAATTAACTATTCAACTATTCCGCGAATTTCGGTACAATTTATCGAACTGTATCCCTCCCTGTTATCCGTCGTTTTAATACGGGGGAGGGGAGGGGGTGGAGGAGGAGGAGGAGGAGGAGGATTTACTCGCGCCTAAGAACTTGATTCGCGTCGGAAGAAATAATTTAACGGTGATATAACGACGGTTGAATAGCGTTATTTCGTGTACACCTTCGCTACGTTTATGCCATTAACAGCGCGGACGGGGGACGAAAATGGAGAGAATCGAGATCCGTGGGAAATTCATCTCGATTATCGAGAAGATCGGTGGGGGGGAGGGAGTCGTTTTCGAAGTATCGGCGTTCGTCGATAATTCGAGAGATAGATATATCTATCCTTTCGCGCGTTTCCTTCTCATTTTCAAGCCGAATTGTTTCCCTCGGTTTTAATGGTCGCTTTCTCTTTTTCCCCGCTAGAACTGGTTCGTTTAAATTGCGTCCGCGATCGGTGGGTCAAAGTGTTTCCAATCGCGTATTACGTACGAAATTAACGATCGTTCGTTAGAGCTAAATTTTGCCGGGAATGTGGTCCAAACTCGGTCGCAGATTATCCCACCGTGATCGTGTCGTGCGTTGGCGTGCACAGAGATTGAGGGAGAAGGGGTTTTTTCGAGCGTATGGAATAAGAATTGGCGCTAATAATCAACGGAATTAATCCAAAACGAGGAGCCGGACGGAGTTGGTACGGAGGTAAGGAGAATGGTATTATTTATTACGGTGCAATCATCGTCGTTTCACCGCTTTCCTCCCGAAGGATCGAACGATTCAACGTGTGCACGTTACACGCGAATCCTCCCCGACGACCGAGTGACGACTACGAAGAAGACCCCCGGGGGTGATACTTGGCTTAATCGCCAGCTCGCGGTCCTTTATTGCCAACGGTTACTTTGGTTAAGTACCAGGGTCATTGAGAAAATTGTGGGTCTGTTTGCACTGTCAGCCGGTGGACTGGTTTCATTCGGTTAAGTCGGACGGACAGCCTATACTTGAACCGTGCACCGGACGAAATCGCTCTATCAGTCCCGGGCCGAGGCTCGAGGAACGTGGAATGTGGATTCAACCGCGTCCCGGAAAGAATCTTTTCGAGAATTACGCTTCGATTAATCCTGCGTTCCTAACCATTTCACGTTAATCCGGACACATGGATCCGAGCCTCGCGATTTATCATTTCGCGAGAGCGAACTCGATTTCTCGAAAAACTTTTCTTTTCTTTTCTCTTCTCTTCCTTTTTTCTTTCGCTCCTCCATACATCTTCGCTTGGGCCTCGCACCGATTAGAAACGCACGCCTCCCTCCCCCCGATCGTCTCGATTTTCCCGGCCGGGAGAGGAAACCCGTTCACCGTGACCGAGCGTACGACGGAGGGATAGGTTCTCTCGTTTCACGGGGGATAAAAAGTGCCGTCGTAGGTTGGTACGCGTGCGGGTTGGTGGGACCCTCACCTCGGACAACAGGTTATATAAGGTCGGGGTCCAAAGTAACCATTATCGAGCACGATATCTTCGTACCTGGTCGTTAGAGAGAGCAGCCCCCGACCACGAAGAGGAACACGAAGAGCGTACTCGAGGAGAAGACTCGTTACGTTACGGAGAGTGGGAAGAGGCAGGCCGTAAAGTGGCCTTTGTCATTGGAGACTTCCTTGAACCACGGTTACGGATCTCCCCTCCCCCTCCCCCGGTGTCGAATGTTTTTCAACGGCGGAAGAAGGGAGCTGCGTTTCTCTCGTGGACCAGTTTTCGCTTCTCAGTTTCGCCTCGATAATTATTGCTATGACCGGCCGTATAACCCCGCCCTATATCGGCCGCCGATCGTCTCGAGAGAAACGTTTTTTTATCGTTGCGCTGCGAGGATTACGAGGCTCCCTTTTTCTTAAACGATCCGTCAGTGGATACGGACAGTCGACGGCCTAACCGTAACTCCCTTAAGAAAGTGGCGAATCCCTAAAACGACGATTCGGTTAACGACGTTAAATTACAGTACGCAGGAACTAACGCGGAGAACGAATCGTGAAAACTCTTCGTGGAAAGAATATTCCCTTTTCGGGAATCCACGATGCGGAATTTGTCGCGAGCATTCATCCCGACGAGGCGCCAGTCTGCGAAGTAAAGTTGGGCGAACGAGAGGTGGGGAGATCCTCTTCGGCGATCAAGACTCCTCGATCGAGATGATCGACCGACAATGGCGGGCGAGGAGGGAAAATATTAAGCTTTGCGCGTACATCGAAGGGGCGTTGCTTCGTGACTGTCTTCGCTAATTGTTGGACGATGTTTCATTGTTCGTCTCGTTACGATTGACTCGAGAGATGTCGAATATTTTAAATCTCGTTGCGATACAGGTAGATTGAAGGATATACAAGGATTGGATTTCGAATCTTTTTTTCTTTCCTCACACCTTACTCGTTTCTTTCGTTTTTATCGATCAATCGTAAAAAAGAAAAAAAAAAAAAAGAAAGAAAGAAAGAAAAAGAAGGGAGAAATTTGAGCGAATGCGAGTATGCGAGGCCACGAATTAATTCAGCAAACAATCATCGCGGTCGGCAAGGCCGTAAAAGGAATGACAGAAGAGCAGCTGAGAGAAGAAGGAGAAGGAAGGACGAGTGGAAGGAGAGGGAACTCGGCTGATCATAGTCTATGATTATGTTCTTGACTTTCGCGGTCAAGCTCCTTCATCCATGCTTCCACGGTTCCCTCTATGGTGTTCCTTCCATGCGGCTCCGCTATTTATAGAGGCTTATTACTTTATTGCAACCCGACTCTGAATGCATTCCGCCCACGCAGCAGTTTAGCAAAAACTTTTTCGTTGGAAAGCCGCATGGATCTGTTACGACGTACCTTCGACGGTTATTTCGATGAAATCGTCTCCCCGTTACTCTTTAAGGATATTTATCGTTCGCCATTGGACAGGTGCAATTAACCAAGCGGCGGCTATTCCTTCTAAATACACGTTCGAAATACACGTTCTCTATCGGGTAAGAGGAGAACGTAACGAAATAAATATGAGTGAAATTTTAAATCGTTCCCATCTCGGGTGAAAAGA